CAAACAAATCAAAAATTTGATGCACAGTTTGGGACGTTGCCGGCGTTGTGTACTTTTTAGAGTACTAAGCCAACAACATTTTAACAGATGGGCCTGAAATCCGTTAAATCTCGATACCAAAAACACCCAATTTCGTTAAAAATTGAACCCATACCGTTTCACAACCACCGCATTCATCCGATTTAGTCCCGTGTGACTCCTGGCTACTGCCTAAACTCAAAAGACCACTCCGTGGACAACGTTTTAACCCAACTGAAGAGACACAAGCCTAAGCGTAAAAGATTTTGACGGCCATTCCGGAAATCGGCTATCGTAACTGTTTCGGGGATTGGAAAAAGCATTGGCATATATGTATAGCATCTGAGAGGTATTGCATTGAAGGTGACGAAATCGATTACGAAGAATAAATAGATTTAAAAAGTATAAAATTAAATCGGTCTGAATTTCTGATCGCAGTAGTATATTGTGTTGACTATGATAACTTGTGATTGTAATGGTTTCAGTGGTTTTCAATAGCAATTATTGTTCTAAACCGAGTGTCCCCCGTAAGCGGCTTAGAGCTGTAGAAGCAAGCCGACCATTTTCAAGTCCACTATTATGAATTTGAATTTTAGATGAATTACTAAGACATCAGATGAAGAGTCAAAAAAACTTGCTACAGATGGTCAGGGAAATCATTAACATCGACAGTGAAGTCAAGTAGTCCCACTTCGGATCACTTTTGGATATTAGCTCAATATAGTTTATTAGGTCAATAACTATAGAGTTAGGAGTAACTGTTGCAACTGCGTCGACATTTAAAAAGAAAACGATTCCGATACCTCGATAAAAATTATCGACCGGCAAAACATCAGCAATACTCAAGCAGGAAATGTGTCCGCCAGATATTCATTCATCTGACTCACACCTGTTTTAACCTTTCTAAAGGATGTCTCTATTCCTATGACAACTTTCCAAAAATAGGCGGCGTATGAGTACAAAGTGGGCGCAGGACCACGGTTGCGACGGCATTAATTCGTTGATAAATCGAACAGTTACGCATTAAATACCCATAATAGGCGAGCAAAAATTTATTTTTAGCAAGAAGCTCGAATTTCTACTGCAGAAATTCATTAATTAACTTCAGGTCTGCCAACGTTTCACAAGCCTACCAACCTTCTCGCATTCTAAATATGTCCTCGCAGGGTTACCCACAATCTTAAAACTTTCACTAATCCCTCACAAGTTTAACGGAAATGAACTCTTAATACGTAGTGTTAGGGTCTCGTTCCATTAAAAAAATTACACTACGGAGCATCGCTTTCGCTGCTTACGAATTGCGAAGAAAAATTATAAAATAAAATATACAGCTGTACTCCCCATATCTTAAGCGACGACCCGTTCCGTTTTCAATGAGTACTCTCTTGGGATTCCGTTTTGTTGGCTTTGTCGACGAGAACAATCCATAGTAAAAAAAAAAAAAAAAAAAAAAAAAAAACCAAGAACAGCATTGACTTTTGACACTGATCTAAGTTGATTCCGTTTTATTTTCTATTGCATTTATTGCTTTTCCATTTGTTAAACAGACAACAATTTCTAAAAATTTCTGGAAATTCATATATTTTTCGGGTGGAGGGAAAAATGAATTGACGAATGAGTGAATGCATCATCCATAGCACATATACTTTAAAAGTGTGCAAGAAATTTGGTTTACTCACCACATAAGGGTAAGTTAAGTAAGCAATTTTTTGCATTTCTTTCCTGCTTCTACGGACTGAATTACACACACACACACACACGCATAAAGATCAAACAGCTTTATCATCTCGAATTTTGAGAGGAAAAATTAATAATAATAGCTTTCCTTGCTTGAGGCTCACGCATACTACCTATTGGCTTTTCAGCAGGTCACAGCTACCAATATGTTAGGCGGAATATATTTTTGATAAAATAATGCACAACAATTTGAGTTTCTAAGTTTGCTTTAGAAGCTAGACGCCAGACTCAATTAACCCTCAATTTGCCCAACCCAGCGACCTGCTTATCAAACGTCGATCGTTCTTTTCAATAATCTTAAATTAACGAAATTGGAAGGTCGCCCTTTTCCCGATCGCATTCGGGTTCTTGCATCACTTTATTCAAGTTGATCATACCATTTAAGTATAGTGCTCGGCGCGATGTGCGCATTTGCTCTCAAATACAGAATTTAGATCGCATGTCGTCTCAACTCGAATGCCATCTTCATCAAAACTGAATATCAAAATTTTAATTTGTTCGGATATGACGTGTTTTCGAATACATTTTTCGATCTATGATTCTGGCGTTTAGCTAAGCAAGACCACAACTGTGCTCAAGAAAATGATTGCTTAAAAGAAATTGTTACCGCTAAGGCCGCTCGACACACATACCTGTCATTCAATTTGAATTCTATCTTGGCTTTACAACGCGTTGGGCAATCGAAGATTAACCACAAAATCTCATACTCTTAAGCAATAGACAAGGTACTGTGCATACAAATTCGTAATTATGTTAGTAATGAGACTTTTGTCTATATTGATGAAAAAAAAAAAAAAAAAAAAAAAAGAAAAAAAAAAGAGCAAACCATTTCAATTATTTTATATTTTGTTTTCAATTTTGTTGCTTTCATTTTCACATTCGATTCAATTTTGTGGCAAGATTTCTCATACTACATATGTAATATGGTCGGAGAGACAAAAAAGAAACTTATTATTTTACAAGAGTCCTACTTGATTGATTTTTCTCAAAACATTGCAATCAACTCAACAACGTACAGATTTTGGGACCAGCTTTTCAATTACAGCAAACCATGTCCTTTTAAAATATATTCATGTAAATAAAAATTGATGCGTGCTTCTGCTGTATTCAATACATACACATATACATATATTTATTTATGCCACAGTATTCTTATGTATGCACACGCATACATCTATACATGGTGTCCCAGGAGAATTTACGTAAACTTCAATATAGTTTTACACATACATATATATATATATATATATATATATATATATATTATAATAGAGCTGCAGGTGGAAACGAAAGAATGCACAATCGTCGCAAATTAAAGTTTCCGTTTAGGGTTTGTAAATACTCAAATTGATTTTACATTTTGACAGGATTGTCTTTGTTTAATCAGCCGTACGAGTACAATTACTTCAGGATTGGAACCAAGAGACTCGGATCATTATAGTAAGTTCGTAAGCATTCATTATACTTGTTCTAGCAATACATGGGGATAATATGATTGTAACGGGAACAATCGACATCTGGATGATGGCAATTCTATAAATAACTCTTTCATCCACGTCTTTTGCTACTAAGACGCACCACTGTAACAACAAAAAGCAAATTAAAACTGATGTCTGTAATCGCATCATTATACACACAGTTACATAAATTCATAAATTATTCTCAACTGGAAAGTAGTTCCGTTTGTTCATTTGGCCACACGGAGAAAAGGACGCGAGATGTTGGAAGACGCCTTTATCATTAAATTGGCATAATAAATTTTCTCTCTCTCTCTCTCTTTACTTCACGGAATCAGATCTAGTGTATCTGAAAGATTTACATGGCACTATGAAGCAATTTTCTTGTCCCCCCGCCGCATACACTACCAACTTCAAAATCCTTTCCGCGCACTTGGTTTGACACATAATAATACTAATCGTTATTGATTTGATACCTCAACGAATTGCATAAATGTCGTCAAAAGTGCTATTCTACAGTTATGTCGTTTGCATTCTGACTATTCCTTTAATTTGAAACACATCTATCTATCTATCTATGAAGATACGTTCCTTTATTCGTGCGATTTAATAAAGTCAATAAGTCCCCATACCAGTTATTGCAACACAATATCGAAGTCTCTAATGGCTATTAATTTACTTATTATTTATAATCTTAAGCAATATCGATTATTAGCTGAATAAATAAAAAATGGGAAAATGCACTAAGAAATTCCTAGAATATTTCTTATCTAAATAGAAAAAGAAAGCAACAACAAGTCGAAACATCTTCTTAGTTCTAGGGCCATAAGTTTTTTTTTTTTGCTAAAACAAAGTTCATCGACGATCGATTTTTTTTTTTAGAAAAGATCGCGATGAGAAAGCTTTCCATTTAATTAAAAAGAGATCTGTATAGAGTTTACATCCCTGAACCATCATTATATAGTCATCATGTAATACTCAGAGGTGTATAAAAACAATAGAGATTTGTGACTGATATGAAAAGGATGCCTTATCTCACTTGAGGGATTAAACTAAACGATTTCGAGTAGCTATTGAATGCTATAAAGGAATATCACACACACACACACACATATATATACAAGGGAGAAAATTTATCATTTAGTTGAATGCGTTGGTTAAGATTTGTTTAATGCGCAAACTGATCGAATCAAATCGTTACACTACGTTCCATTTATTGGATTTTGTAGTCATAACGGCATAGCTTTCTTTAGAATGTCCAAAATATATATTTCACACTAAGCTATGAAAATTTTTGAATATACCCCCTGTATGCAAAATATATGATACACGAACCTGCATGCGTGCGTATACACATATTGAGATTGCGGTTTATTAAAAAAATCATTTCCTTATGTAAAAACTCGATTTCGGTTAACAAATTTAACTCAATGTAAAGGTAAAACATTCTTCTTCTTTATTCAGTATATCTGTTGACAGCGGCAGCAATTCCGCATAAGAGCAGCAATATTTTTCCAAGTATGCGGGCATATTGCTAGTAGCTCGATATGATAGAAAAAACCCTTTATCTGTTTGGTTGCAGAACGTTTTAATGATTCAATCGTAGAGTCTCATCAAAGATTTATGATTTTTATTAAATAAGAATTGAATGGATTTTCTGATTTTGTAAACAAACTTATGGGAATCGAAGAGTTTCAATTTAGTGAAATAAAATTGTTCTCTAATAGTCAATCAGTTATTCGGATTGATAAGTTGGACTTAATCAAGTTATAAATAATAAGAACTTACCGTTCTGTTGCCCAAGTTTTTCACACGACATGTTAGCTTAACTGTCTTTCCTACGAGACCGGTTATATTCGATGATACGGTGGTGTCAAAGGTGGGACCACCAGTGCCTGGTGTTGGTAAATCTTGCAGAAAATCAGTAAAGAAACGTTTCGAAGCGCCTTCCAATAATGCTTTAAAAAGAAAGAATTAAATAAAAATTAATATTAAAATTTTTTTGTAATAAACGCAATTTCTTCGCCGACCTTCCTACCGAACAATCTCATCGAGACTGCATTGATATTCATGTATTCATTATCTGTTATCTGAGTCGATAGCTCCTAACGAGCTGAGTGAGGTCTATTGTAGTCATTGAAACCAGGCTTGTTTTTTTTTTTTTTCTAATGATCAAAACCTCAGAGGATGTTTTCTAAATGTGCAAGCACGAAACAGTGGAAAGAAAGACAGATTATAGATGAAGCAGATAGGAAAGAGGAAGTAAGGTTTGCATACATTCAACTTGGATTCGTGACCATCATTCTGCCCATACGTATGGAGGCCCTACTCCAAATGAGTAGTCAAAACCAAAAACATGAGGAATGTGGAGAAAGACTTTTACAGGCCAACTATTTCAAATACTAATTTAAAACGCGCCGCATACACTCAATTCGAAGACAATTGGATGAGAGAGTTGGAGAAGCTGAGTACTCGTACGAAAGGCGTTAATTAGCGAACAGACCGTTTATAGCTCTTCAGAGAGCTTATCTACTCAGTTTACTTTATCGAAAGTGTTGGACACACTTTCGCGAGTCATCAGCATCTACGGTCTTCCCTGAACGCGATCAAAGGACCCACATAAGACTTGGAAGCTTCGACTGGTGCGTGCAAATCGCAGCTTTTATCTGGCTGGTGGGCACGATGCAGATATGGGATGAGATCTTAAAATATAATAACCTACGACTGCTTTTTCCAATACTTTAACTACATCTTCTTTTTAATGTATATCACTTTGTATTTTAATTCATAGAATATATACCATTTTCGACTCCTGTACATTAACATCATTACATAACAAGATATGTGCATTGATTTCCCTGCTTGCTAAAAGCTATCATCTTCTTCTTCTCGTTGTGCATCATGATCAACTTCTTTTGCCGGCATTGAAATCGATTACATGTGGCACTGCTGATGTAGCATTTATTTTGTATCTCAGCTCTGCATAGTCATAGGAAAATGGATAAATAGGTTTTCTGTGGATCGCTAATGAATACCGATCCTTTTTCGTTGGAATAGTGGCCTAAAGAAGGTCGAAGTGGACATACTAAAACAGTCATCCCCGCACGATCTGACCAGGACAGCAGCCAAAAGACTATCGACTGAGAAGAGTTGCAAGTTTAAGCCATCGCGATAACGCGGCGACGAGTTGTCGCCGTTGGATTTCCAGGCAAAAAATTACTTTCTTCCTTTCTCCAGAAGTTCCTTGCTAAACAAAAACCAGCCAGATTATATGGTTCAGCGATAGAGCTCGACTTTAACCGTGTTGTTGCGTTGGTGAGCATATCTATGGAAGGCGAATGTTAGGATGGCTTTTGCATGTGCTTAGTGAACTTGATGCAGCTTCGTCGCTTGCGGTGCAGCAACGCAAGAGCGATAGTAAATCGCTTACGAGTATTTCGTCCAAGCATTATTGCTTAAGAAATATGTACACAGAAGTGCGCGTGAACGCAGGCTGCTGGGTACGGCTTTTCGGAGAGTACCGTGGTGGCTATGGTCAAGCGAAATATGCGGGAGCTACAAATAACGAGATGCCAGATAGCCATCTTCTTCGCCTCGAGTATTTCCAAATTGGATTTATTGGCGCTAGACGTTAAATCAATTTGACGCTTCAAGCGTAGCGATTCTCTCGATTATGGGGATCGTCATACCCATTGGATGGTGCCGACTCAAGTAATCCCCATGGACACAGCCACAAGGCAGATATTCACGTTACGCCTGTCGAATCTATTTACAATAATTTATTTGACGTTCCGAAAAGCTGCAGCTCGTCCTTATTCGAGAATAAGCAAGTTTTCTTCTTTCTTTTACGTAGCTAAGATACGACTACGACTTTCGGCCAAACAGCGAATTTCCCCAAATCACAAATTGCTATTTACTGAGAGGCGATTTATGCCGATTTATGCGAGAGGAGACAATACGAAAGAGGTCATAAGATACCGAAATGTGGAAAGATACCTTCTATGACAGAGTTGAACATTGACATACATGTATTACCTAAAAAATGGAGTCTATTTTGAGGAAAATTCCACTGTTACTCTCTATGATTTGCCATGCAGTTCGTCAATATGTTTTCTCTTTTGTTTTAAACGAACTTATACCGGTATATAAAAAAAAAAACAAAAAATGATGATAATAACTCAACGTTGTAAAAAAGTTTTTTTTTTTTTGTTTGTTTTATTTTTTACAAACTTTACATAATCCTTGAAAAAACATCTACATCGTGTACATGGGTAATTTCGTTGAAAACATTGTCATCACATTTACTTGTAAATATATTAGTGTTTCGGGATTAAAGGCAATAATAAAACATGCATTATGTTTGATGCTCTGGGTAAAATAATAAATTTATTTAAAGCTTATTGTTGTCAAAGTAATATAAGGTAATAAAGATAATAATCGCATTGGGACGAATTTTGAATACCCACCATCGAGGCCATCGATATATATATATATATATGTACAAATTACTTAATTTTGTGCTGATCCTGAGCACATCAGATGATGGTTCAACAGCATTTTCATTTGAAAAAAATATTAACTCATACATATGCAAATCATTACATATCATTACCTATCATAGTAAATACGTTTTTTTAACTTGCATGATAGCTACGTAAATATTTCCCAGGTTAGGGTAATTGTTGCTGCTGGAGAAATTTTAAGTGTTGTGAGAATGCATTTGCTTAAATCTTAAAAGGAAACCAGCTTACGTAGACTATGTGATCTAAATGCTTATGTGCTTACCTTAGCATTTACCTTTCTAGGAGCAAATGTTTTGAACGTATTACATAATCCCGGAATTAATTTCAATTTTTCCATACTTAATTTGATTTAACATTCAATTTTGACACGTTTCCGAATTCCACGTTAGAAGCAGGAGCAAGTAACTTATTTCAAATTGCAAGCGAAATTTGTCATCTTTTACTAGTATCGTACGGGGAAAACGCTTCAAATTGTAAAACAAAAAAAATAAAACGACTTGAACTTTTAACATCAAATCCCAGAGATAAAAGGAGCTTCAGTGAAGGGTCTCGCCCCATGTTACTAAAGAAATGATTAAGAGGGAAAATATTGCATTATATGAAAACAGGATTGTATTACATGATGACAATTGTAAGTGCAAAAAGTAATTAAACAATGCGCACACATAGCCTGTTACGTTGAGTTAGAGAGTAGTAACTAATGACACTATTGTGCATTATAGTGTATTCCTGCTTTGTACGGTATGGCCTAGGCGCAAATAATCAACAAACTAGAGCCAATAGAATCAATATGCGAAAAATTCTATGAAGTAATTTGCTCTTACAATGCACTCGCTCTACTCGCTCGCTGCGAGATTGCATGGCAAAATGTGTAACAACTGCCATTTCCTTACAGTATAATCACCGCCTAATTACTAGCGAAAACAATAAGTTCAAAATAAATGCCCTCCTGATTCACAAAAACCCAGAATAAACCGTTTATGATCATTGCCAGAAACGCAACATTCGTCCAATGAATTTATTACGATCAGTGTCCAATCAATCTTATTGCTTCGATACCAAAGAAGAGCTTAGTTCCTCTATGTATTTGTAGAAGATAAGCCTATCTGTCGGGAAAAGGAGCGGGGTCGCTGAGAGACCCCGGATAATACTATATTTTGAATATTCAATGTATTTTATATGAAATATTATCCGGGGTCTCTCAGCGAGAACGATACTTTTTAAAACTATAATTTCCAGTTTCAAAATACATTGTTACCAGATGTGCAAAGATCCATTAGAATCAAACAGCGACTTACGATTGCTGAACTTTTACGAATCGTTAAAAATATGTTATCAAAAAGTGGCAGCTCAGCTCAGTTATGGGCGCTCATTATTGAACTGGGTCGCCATCACTGCTTCTCGTATGATTGAACATTCATCGACTTTTCTTAGGCTCCACACCACCAAAGTCGAGGTCTATGCTGACAAACTAGAAGCGTACATTCGTCGGGCTATCGTGGACGTAACATAAATTGTGTTGGACAGAGTGATTAACAATTGCAGCCATCGTGTATATAGATGAGTTTAAAGCCGTGATAAAATGTTTGAACGATATTTTGTTCAGAGCATAACGATGAGTTGTTGTTTTCTTTTTTTATTCTCCAATGGGTGCAGTAAAAGGATATAATAACTCTATGTGGAGAAGGATTTTAGGCAGACTGACGTGTCGATATATCGATCGATTCAGAAAGTGACTATGAATCCATCTAAACTTGTCTCTCCGTCTTCTTTTCTTACATTCAATCTGTGGGACGTCATTTTTAAAAATGTTGCGAAATATAATAGGTTCGGATCAGATCACTTTCTCGACCACTTTCCAAGTAACCTTAACCTTATTTTGAAAACTGTAGGATAGTGTAAGGTATTTGGTGGTGAGCCCTGGCCCGCTATAGAATTATTACTTGTTTTCCAGACGAGAGAGAGAGAGAGAGAGAGCATTCAGTGAAGAAATATTACTAATAACTTTTATGTATTTGATAGACAGACGCGGATATATGTATTTTTTAGAATATGTTGCAAACGCGTAGAGAAATTTGATGTACATATATGCGCGGGAAAAAAGAAGGTAACGATCATCTTTTCACTTTCGTATCTCAAACAAGCGTAAAATAATATTTTAATAGGCCGTTAACAGGATTTGCAAGTTTATGCGCGTATCGATCATAAGCTAAATAATCCCTGAGCAATTGCCGATTGATTGGGAGGAAAGGTTACCAATACCGAGTAAGGAAAAAAGAGAGAGTGAAAAAAAAAAAGAAAAAGGAAAAAAAATCAACCATTAATCCGTCTTTATATAATTGTTATTGTTATTATTGTTATTATTATTATTACATTGAAATGTTCGTTCATGCATGCCGGCACGTTGTTGCTTATACACGTACGCATACAATTGC